GGAAGACAACCAGCTTATATCTGTTGAAAAGTTCACTGGAAAGCTGACGTTGAAAAGCCAGTGGAAAAGAAATATTGACACGAATTTCAAAACATGCGTCTCTGGTGAGTTTGCATCAAGATTGTCTTCTAGTTTTTTAATGTCTGTATATGTTATCTTTCACTAGACATAAACATGTGCAGCACTTGACGATAATTTTCTCCTTCATTTTCTTTAAATGCTTTTTTAATCTCGGAAATGTTCAACTATTTCTTGTGCTTCATAGGGAAATGCACAATTTTATATACCCAATTTCAGATGGCCCAAACCGAGTTTGCGCTAGTTGTCGCTTCATACACATCTACTTAACACAAGATTCTCTACGAGAAGCGGCTACCGTGTTCCTGCCGAAGATGTCGTTGGATGACTTCTGGGATCCCCCAGTTTTCAATAGATTTAGGTATATTAGTGCTATTTGAGCGTTTTCAGAACTGGTTGCAATTTCTATTCAACATTCATCTTTGTAGGCAGTCATTGGCAGCCCTGGACACTTGGGAGGAACAAAATGTATTTGTAGTCGGAGCACAACATGCTGTGGAAGGAGTTGAGGTCAATTTGGTAGTTATGGATAGAGGCAGACTTGTAAAGTGAGTTATCCGACTCTGATGGAAAAATTCCACAATTTCCAATTGTCAAAGGCATTACCAAAGTAACAATATTTATGACTGCTTATCAACATCTCATTTCTTCATATTATTTCTTTCTCATTGCGCTCACGTTTATCTGTTTGTCGGCATCTAAAGCCGAAACCGAAAATTGGAATTGTATGGCATCTCCTCTGATTCGTTCTTTAATAACGCTCGCCAAGTGGTTTCTTCACTAGGCCGCTAACGAGCCCACACGCATCTGTCACCTCGCCATATGATACACGGCGATGAGATCTGCGCGAAATTGTGTTACCCAAAAGGAGAGATGTTGAGGGGTATTCCATCATATTGAGGGTTGCATGGAGTAAAGCATGAAAATAAAGAAATGGGAAGTAGCCTTCCAAATTCAAAAGTGGACAGGATGACATTCCTCCAAATATTCTTTTCACTTAATAATAAGTTTTGCTCTCCAAGGCTTGCATCTGCAACCGTATTCAATGCTATTTTTTAACTATACTGCACTGTCTGAATTCCAATAAGAAGCAGAACTGACAGCAGAATCAACGGCATGTCAACTCACTCGTCTCAGGAAAATTTCTCTTACAAAAAAGCACACAAGAAGATCCGAGTTATTCAGAATTGTCCAGGATGCTCCACAAAATCGCAGATTTTAATTCTGCCTTCTTTGTTTGCCAAGCGACTTCCTGAAGGAAGTTATCCAGCCTCTCAAAACATTACACGATTTCCCATCCATGGTCGAAAATTTGAATTAATTTAGTGCAAAGATATCTTATCAGGATAGGAAAGCAGAACGAGCTACTGCATTGTTATTTTAGGTTGAATTTTGTTAGAGAAAGAGCCTGCATAACTTCCTTCAAAGAAATGCCAGATAGGAAAAGCTTTGGCATCATCTCGTAAGGGCGCAGCCAATGGAATACGGATCATTTTAAATGGTCAGGAGAGAGCCATTTTTGCTTTGATTAACGAAATGGGCTCACTACATCTTTTTGAATTATATACGACAAATTACTCATTATATCCTTTGAGATACATCCGCACGATAGAGGAAATATCACAGAAATTGTTTTAGAATTATCTGGACCTAAAAGATAAACGAAATGTAATATTGGTTGTGTAAATTTCATATTTCTATTCTATCTTTTGAAAATAAGAACGTATTAAGGATTCTATATATGTACCTGAGAGTCTGACTCATTGATTTCGTAATAAGCTAATGATGCGTTGCACAAGCAGTGGTTATTATTATAACGACGAGTCAACAGTGTTAATGACTGATTTCAATTACCACAAGGGAACTAGTCCGACGAAAACAAAAACAGTACTGATTTCACCCACGGTAGGGGATAAGCCGTAACGGGAAA